TGCTTCTAAAATCAGAGGGAAGAGACCAACAAGTAAGTGAAAGTGGCACTTAAACATATGAAAAGATGCTCAACTTCACCCCCAAGAAATATGCAAAAGGAAACCACACCAAGATGCCATTTCTTGCTTGGCAGAATTGGCAAAATACCAAATATTTGACAACATCCTTGGTTTACAAGGCTGTGAGGAAACATCACCAGTGGGAATGCAAGATCCTACAACCCTGTGGGAGGGAGCTGGGCAACGTACAGCAAAAACAGATTACAAATGTCCACTTCTAGGCATCTACCCTAAAAGTAAACTGGCAAAACTATGAAAAGAGCCATATAAATCTACTCATTACAGCATTAATTTTAATGGTATCAGACGTCCAGTCATAGCAGACTGGCTGAATACATGATGGCACATTCACAAGAGAGGCGAATGCAGCTGCTAAAAGGAGAAAGGGACATCCCTAGACACTGCTGAGGAGAGATTGTCAGGACACTGAAGGGAAAAACGCCAAAATGCAAGGCAATTGGGACAGAACTACTGTTCATTGAAGTTCACTCAGATTTTTCAAAATGGAGGGAGAAACCATAGCATTGATAAATGGCTACCAATAGGGTGAGGGCAGTACAAGGTTGATGGGAACAGGGAAAGAAGCAAGACTTCTGACTGTACTTCGTTTTATAAACTTGACTTTGGAACCATATAAGTTTTACACAATCATAAAACAAGATTATATCAAAATTTGAAAAATGTAAGTTTTTCAAGTTACATTTGCTTTTTCAAAGCAAAACCAAAATGAAACAAGTGAACTAGTATAGAGTTAGGGTCTTAACCCCACAGAAACAAAATTTTTCAATTTACTTTGAAGCAGAGTAATATCCCAAATGGGATATATCCTAACAACAAGAATAACTGCAAAAAAAATCTAGACTATTTTCAATAATCATACTGTTAATAATATTGACATTGTTATTCTGAAACCATTACATATAAATGATAAAGTAGATAAGTAATTGTGTTGAGATAATTAGGATCCAGAATTTTCAATATAGGAAAAACAGATACAAATGTAAAACCAGGCCTCTGGTGGGTGAATAGAGGCTGGGGCGGGGTCTTCCAATCTGCCTCCATCCTGGCCTGGGATTGAGTTGCGGGATTCAGGGGGCAGGTGCCGGGTGCTTTCTGATCCTGGTCTCCGCGGCTTCATAGCAGACCCTATCCTGTGATCAGGGCCCATGGGTAACCTGAGCCAAGATGGCAGTGAGTGCAGCCTGTATTCAAAAATAATAATAAACTAACTAAATAAAAGAAGTTAAAACCACCTAGCTCTAAATTTGAATTTGAAATATCACTGACTTCATGATTCTTTTTTTTTTTTTTTACATTTAAAGTTATGTATTCTAGCTCTGTCCTCTGAAAAGACCTAGAAGTAATGTCCAGCCTGGTGGCAATGAGCATCCCTAGAGCCCCACCCACCCGACCCCCGTGGCCTCCAAACACCATTTCCCACTCAGGTGGATTAAGGCTCCTTGAAAAAAACACAGATTCCAGCCTGAGGATCCAGGGGTATGGGAGCTGAGCCTAGGGCATCTTGTCATATCAGAAATCTAGGGAGAAATCAGTGAGCAAGGGTCTTGTGTCAAAAAGACTCAGGGCGAACTTGAAGAGGTTCGCACTGACCAAAGATGGGAGGATATGAGTATTAATTTTCAAAACTGTAATGAATTAAAACACATTAAATATATTAAAATTTTTGCGTTCAAATAATATAGAAAAAGAAGTACCTACTTGGTCAGCTCTGGAGAATGCTAGAAAACCAAATCATTATTCTGAAAGTTAGTAAATAAAGGGAATAATTAAGCATTTAACTTGTCTTTTTTCTATGGACCATATTTCAAGGCAACCAAACACTTGATATGGGGAAGTTTGTCTTTACAGAACTGTTCCCACAAATGCAGAAGGGATACCAATAGGAGAATGTCACTGTCTTGCAAACTCCGAGCGAACTGCACCCAGGCAATGACTGTCAGTGGAAATACAAGCGCCCACGTGTGAGTATTCTTGCCCCCACCAACCTGAATCCAATTAGTCTCTATAAGTTTGCAAGAACGTCTAAGGACAGAGGGCACAACGAGAATCCGAATGGCAAAATCCCAAGTGTGAGAAACTCCACAGAACACATGACCTGATTTTAATAGATTTCGAAGAGGATAAAAAGCAGTGGGAGGAGGCTATAGATTAAGAGACTCTACAGCCTGTCGACCAAGTGCATTGTGCATTTGTGTACCTGGTTTGGACCCTGATTCACACAAACCGTTTATCAAAAATGAAAACGTCTGAGACAAATGGGAGAATTTGGACACTGGATATTTGGTAACAGGGGATAATGGTTGCTATTTGGGTATGATAATGGCTTCGTAATTACCTTTTGTAAGGGCCCTAATTTTTTAGAGACAGATATGGAAATGATGGGAAGGAGGTAACTGGGTAAAGAATAGGTGAGAAGAGATTGGCTGTGGGTCAACCACTTGTTCAATTGTGTAGTGGACATGTGGTTTCATTATACACTTTCCCTACCTTTGTGTGTCTCTGAAATGTTCCAGAATAAGAAGCTAAAAGGAAAAAAGAAGGAGTGAGGGGGAAAGTGGGTCCCTGCAGAGGGGCTCCTGTCCCCCTCGCCTGCTTCCCAGCAGCCTCACCAGCTGAAGTCATCTAATTTGCATGTTGATGGTGTTTCCCCACCGGGATGTGAGCTCCAGAAGGAAGGAGCTCTCTGCTTTGCCTGCTGCAGATAAAGGAAATTGGGAGACTGGAAGCCTCTGAGTAGCGAGTCACCTCCTCCTGGACAACACGTGTGGACTGTGGAGGGCCCCATCTCCTCACACCCTCCTTACATCCAGCAAAGGACCCGTTTGAGACATACAGGGGTCGTTTCCCAAGCGCAGTCAGACCTGTGCGTCAGTTCCCAGGATTTGCTGGAGGAGAAGAAGTGTCCCTTTGTGACGTAAATCGATATGGCTGGGCCGGTGTGGTGGTGTCTGAGGGTGTTCACTTATCAGTGTCATTCATCCCTCCATTCACTCATTGCCAGGCCCTCTTCCAGGTACTTGGGACACGCCAGTTCACAAAATGAGTAGAATGCCTGTAGCACTGACGTGCCAGAGGGGTGAGTGGGAAAGGGGCTCAAAAGAGATTTAATTTGCATTTCCCCGATTATGCATCATTTTTTTTTTTGGCCACACTGCACAGCATGTGGGATCTTAATTCTCAACTTACTTTAACAAATAGGAGAGTATGTGTTCATGCACACATGTGCATGTGTTGTTTTTAAGTATATACTGTATAAGGGTTCACTCAGAGAGACAGAGCCACCAGGAGACAGAAATTATATAAACAATAAAAAATTATATAAAAAATATGTATGTTACAGGGATTACACCTCACACAATTGTGGGACGTAATCAAGCAATTCCTATCGGCTCTTGTATTTGCATCTGATGCTGGAGCAAGACAGGGTTGGAAAGGGAAGATGGATGTAAAGTGGGGAAACCAAGCACAAGCTGTGGTCATGAGCTGTGGTCATGAGCTGTAGCCTCTAAGGACAGACAGAAAAGCCTTTGCTTTCTTTGATGATGTGGGTGTCCTGCAGAAGGAAGGTGGAGCAGGTGTAGGCCTGTTGCTATCTTGTGCCACCCAGTGAGCCGGGGACATTGTGCGTGGCAGTGGCACCTGCGTGGACCTTTCATAGCTCACACCACCTCTGGACACCCTCTGTAATTCACATATTGATTGTGTACTGCCTGCTTTCCCCACTCACAGGCAAGGTCCACAAGAACAGGGACTTATTGGGAATGTTGCTTGTCTTATTCATTCATGTAGCCCCAGCACTTAGAACAGTGCCTAGCATGCAACAGGCACTCAGTAAATACCATGCTTGTGAAACACAGAGACACAAGTGGCAGAGCTAGACACACACACAAACGCTAGTTGTTGAATTGCTAAAAAAAAAAAAAAAAAAAAGTAGCAAAATATTAGCTGTTGAATCTAAGGGAAAGGTATGCAATATATTCATTGTATTATTCTTTCAACCTTTAGGAACATTTTTAAAATAAGTTGTGGAGGAGACAAAGAAAGCAGGGTGTGCTGAGAAGGTCCTCGAAGCATCAGCTGGGACCAAGATTGCTGGGATAGAGCTCACTCCCTGTTGTTAAAAGGTAAACTGAGGCATATTAAAATTTTTGAAGAGCTTATTTGAGCAAACTTAGAACGGAATCGGGTAGCGCCAAACCAAAAGAGGTTAGGAGCGCTCTGCCAACAGGAGCTAGGGAAGAGAGTTTTATAAAGAGGCAGAAGCAAAGCAAGGAAGTTGACAGGCCATAACTTAAGCAGTCGCCTTATTTGGAAAGCCTTGCTGGGGGCTCCTTAAGTAGCTACCAAGGTAGCAGAGCCACTGCAGCCTTATGGCCTCCTTGTTTAATTACGTTAACACTGGCAACTAGCCAAAACCACCTGGGACGGTCCAATAGTAGAGCCAAATCGGACGACCTTGGTCCTGAGCTTCAGTCCCTTGGCAGAGGGGGACTCTGCTCCACAGGGGTGTGCGTGCTAGACGAGTTCCCCGTGGGAAGCTGACCTCACTCTCCGCGGAGTGGGATCCCTGCCCCTGATGCCGGTGCCTGCTACCCAGAGAATTACTGCCACATCCTCCCCGACTTCCAGCCTGAGGCCTCTTCCCAGACCACTTCTCCTGCCCCGCAGTCGGGGCACCGGCTCAGCCTGGCCAGTCCTCCCAGCCTGCCGAGCTCTTCCCTAGCCCCAGCCAACGTGCCACTTGGAAGGACACCAGCCCGTCCTTGGGGAGCCAGCGGGTGCGGTAGGAAGCAGCAATGACCACCTCTTCCTTCCGCCCGCGCTAGTCCTCCACGTCGGCCACAGCGTCATCCTCGGACGCTCCAGCCCCGGACCGCGCGCCGCCCCCGAAGTGCGCAAAAACCAGCGCAGGGGGATGGGGAGGCGGTCGCCGCCACACATGACGACCACCGCCAGCCCGTGCCAGTCCCCGCCTCGGCGGGGTGACACCTGCTGCAGCAGGGCGGAGTACAGGCGAGACAGCAGGCGGCCAGCAGGCCTACCAGGGCCAGCAGTTAGGGGCCCACGCCGGAAGTGCGGCCTTGGGAGGCCCGGACGCGGCGTGGCCTCTCTAGGCGCGGTGGAGGCCGCGTCTCTCGGTGGCTCCGGAGCGCGAGTCACAGGCGTCAGTCAGGAGAAAGGCGCCGGGCAGGGAAGGCGGGGACCGCGGCGGACTGGGAAGTGTCGCGCTCTAGGAGTGGTTGCCTGGGAGGCGTGGGCGGGGAGCCCTGGGAGGCGGGGCGCTCCGGGATTGGCGGGTGCGCAGACGGGGCGGGGTGTCCCCTTTGTCTGAGTGAGGTGCGGGCGGCCGCTTCTGCGCGTGAGGCTGCGACAGGGACGGTGAGTTGGGGCGCGGGCAGCACAGGGAACCTCTGCTCGCGCGGCGGGGGGCCGGGACCCTCCTCGCGGCCGGGCGCTTCCCACAAGCGCCCGCTGCCCTCTCCAGGCGCACTCCGAGCGCCGCCCCGCTCTCGCCTCCGCCGGGCCCTCCCCGCCCCGCTCCCGCGAACTGCGAGCCCTGCCCAGCGGGTGGTTCTCGACTCCGCGAGCTCCAGCCTCTCGCGGCGCCCGGGGGAGGGCCGGCGTCGCGGGACCGCTGTCCGCGGGGGTCGCTCTCAGCGTCCCGGCGGCCTTGGCGTCTCTCTGGGAAAAGTGTTTCCTCCCGAGTTCACCTCCCGCCTCCATTTTCCATCGAGGCTCGTTTCCCGGTTACTTTGTAAAAGCCCTTTTTCGTGAGCGCGACCAGCCTTTCCCAGAGTCCGCGGGTGTCTGCCTGCTGGAAGCTTGCCGGGGCGCTTCAGCGGGAGACGGCGTGCCGCCTTTGCAGCCGAGCCCTCGGTGTGCGCTGCCCTTGGCGTTTCCTTTCTCATCAGCTCGGTTCTTTAACCTACGTGTCTTCTCAAACTGTCATTTGACTCCGGTTATGGTGTTTTGTTCCGTTTTGAGATGGAAGATTTCGAGTGTTTAATGGTCAGATATTTACCCTCGAGGCTTTTGGCTTTGTGCTGTGTTTTAAAGGGCTTTCCCTATTCCAAGGTAAGTTTTTAAATAAATTCTTGTTTTTCTCTGGTACTTGTGAAATGTTGGCTCCATCTGGAATCATTTTGGTGTGGGGCAAGTTGGGAATCCAGCTTATTTCTGACACAACCTACTGAATAATTCATTTCTCCATTGATTTGGAAAATCACCTTTGTCACATGTTAAATTCTCCCAAGTCTTGGGCCCATTTCTGGGATTCGTGGTGCTTTGATGTGCAAAGGTTTTGATTTTCATGCGGCAGATCTGTGGATCTCTGCCCCCCAGACTTTATTCAGGTTCTTTTTATGATGTAATTTAAAAATTTATCTCTTATTCATTCATTAGCCGAATGCTTTCAGTATATGATATGAAATGATCTCATTTTTTTCTGTCTTTTGTTTTGTTTTTTGTTTTTTTGTCGTATTTTTTTAATCTCTGCTTTTGCTTAGCTTTCTGGGAGATAAGTTGAGCCTTGTGCAAAGATCTAAGTTTAGACCCCTTGTCCAAGTGCCGGTTACTGGACCATCTTCCCCGGGATCCGTTTGTTTATAGACGTGGCCCTGCTCTGCCCCTTCTAGTCCAGGCCCGCTTGGCTCTCGGCACCACGGCTTTGTGGATACAGTGGGCAGAATTAGTATCACATTTCTAAGGTTTATTTTAACCTTGTTTCTTGTTGCCATCTGTGAGTAGGACCTTTTTCGCTGTTTATTTCCTGACTCCGTGTTGCTGGTGTGTAGGAAAGCTATCCGCGTGGATGCATGTTTGTGATCATTTACTTCCGAAGGTTGCAGGGTTGCGCTTTGGGCTTAACGGGTGGCTCAGAAGTGCCTCTTTGGAAGGTGATTCCACCCTGGAGGGTGGGGCTCCGTGGAGATAAAGAAAGAGGGGGCAGGCCTTCCAGCAGGAAAACCTGGGGGTGAGGACGGTGAGGATGAGGGTGGCAACTCTGGGACTGGGGGTGTGCCTGTCATGCCTGTCACTGTGGGCGGGGACTTTGGAAGGAAGGCTCTTTTACATCCAGATCATCAGCAGTTCCAGCAAGAGCGATAAGTTACTAAAGCTTAGCTTACAAAACAAAATAATAACAAACGTTAAGTCCTAAGCTCTTTGCGTCTCTGCAGTCCCGTTTTTACTTCCTGTCCCTTAGTCACCGCCCGAGCCAGACCTCACTCGGAGGTCTCACTGCGGTGTGGCCGCTGCTGCAGGGAATGTTGGCCTGTTCTGGTTTGTTTGGGTTATTCTTTGGCGGGAGTTCCAAAAGACGAAATTCCTGCATCTGAAGAATGACGGTGACCCGTTGGTGGGTGGGTGGGTCACTGTTGTGGGCACCCCCGGGGCGGGTGCTTTTTGTACTTGCCACTGTGTTGGGGGCGGCGTTGCCTCCTTAGGCAGCTCCTCAGAGCCAGTTCTGACCCTTGGTGGTGGTGATTCCGGCTCTGGGGACCATCTAAACAGGACTTGTCCTGCCCACCTGTTCGCCCTTCCTGATGCCTGGAGCTCTGGGCATCGAGGTGGGGGTGGCCTGGTAAAAGCCGGGTTCAGTGCCCAGGTGGCTGTGTCCTCCCTGTGGTGTCTGTTAGCAGCCTGCAGTGCGTTTTGCACGTCTTTGCATCTGGCACAGACTTGTTCCAGGAGACCCAGACCTTATCTACCAAAGTGCAAAAAAAATGAAAAACTAGCTAGTAGCACTTTTTAAATTTGTTTTCTTTATTTTTTATCAGGATGTAAGTGTCTTATTCCATTTGTGCTGCTACAACAAAGCACCACACACAGGGCAGCCTATAAAAACAACAGACGTTGATTTCTCACAGTGCGGAGGCCGGATGTCCGAGGTCAGGGGGCCAGCAGGGGCGGGTGAGGCCCTCTTCCTGGCTGCAGACTTCCTGTGTCCTCCCGTGGAGGAAGGGGCAAGGGAGCTCTGTGGGGTCTCTTATCAGGGGGACTCCACCTTCATGACCGAAGCACTCCCAAAGGCCCCACCTCATAACACCTTCACATTGGGCATTAGGATTTCAACACAGACATATACATTTGGGGGACACGGACATTCAGACCAGAGCAACAAGCACACTTCAGGATACTTCACGCTTTTTCCCTTTGGCAGTTTGCAGAGGTCATCCTAGGCAGAGGCCTTTTGCTTTTGTGCTTCTCTGGGACTCACCGCAGGTGGGAATCTTGTCGCCTTCTCCCTCTCCACCCCTCTGTGCCTCAGGCCCGCTGGGTTTGAGTTAATCCCATCGGGCAACGTGAGGCTTAGTCAAGTGCTCTCACCTGAGAGGAGGTGTGTCATCTCTCTGTCTTACTGGTGTGGACGAGGGCTCACACCCCCTCGTGGCCCTGAGGTCATTGTTTGTGAAACAGGAGCATCGTGGACACACTCCATATCCCATGCTTTTGCCGACCTGTCTGGCCACCGGGCGCAGTCTGAGTCTTGGTCTTAGCAGGTGCCGGACTGGTGTGTGGAAGGACTGTGGCTTTGGCAGCGGCACCATCCTGAAGCCTCTGCTTCTGAAGCCACACGACTCACGTGGGATTCGAGCTCAGGGGATGAGCCTCGAGCTCACTGTTTTAATTGAAACCACACACCTAGGCTCAGGACTTCATGAAGCTCAGGCTGTGTATGTCGACGGTCCCTAACCTTTTTGGCACCAGGAGGCGGTTTCGTGGGAGACAGTTTTTCCACGGACGGGGTCGGGGGGGGGGGGGGTGGTTCAGGCGGTAACGCCAGCGATGGGGAGAGGCAGGTGATGCTGTGCGACCCGGTCCAGTACCCGTCCGCGGCCTGGGGGTTGGGGACCCCTGCTCTATGTCTCAGCGCAGAAGGAATTCATAGTAAGAGGCAAAGTGATGGGTGAGAAGTCGAATTATTTAGAGAGGTACGCATTCCTCAGAATGTGGTCCGTCTCAAAAGGCGAGAGCGGCCCTGAAATACGGGGTGGTTACTTTTTATGGGCCGGGTAGTTTCATAGGCTAACAAGTAGGAGAGTTGTTCCAGCTTTTTCAGGGGAAGGGCAGGGGCCTCGGAACTGTGGGGCCTGTGGGTGTGTCATTTAGCTGATGTACTACAGTGAGCATATAATGAGGCTCTGGGGGGTGAGTCTTCCACCGTCTTGGGCGTGGTTGGTTCTAACCAGTTTTTGTCATATCTGACATCTGTGTGTTCTTTAAGGATTGTGCTCTGCCCCCTCCCCTCCTGGTCTCACGTCCCTCCCAGGAGGGCTTGCACTGCCTAAGGATGTATCTGCTGCATCTAAATATACTAGGTGACTTTCCCACCTGAGAAAGAGCCTATCGGAAACTCCGCTTCCCCATTGCTGCGGGCAGCAGATGTTCGCCTTGCACTTGTTGCTGTTCTGAAAGGGGGAGTGTGGTCTCATTGCTCCTGTAATTTCATACACTTATTCAGCAAACATTGAGCCACTGGCTGCTCTGCTGGGGCAGGAAGGGGGGTGTGAGAGCGACGAGGCAGAGGACCTCGGTGAGAGGAGGGGCCTCGGCGACAGGGTGACATGGCCAAGCACCAGCCGAGGGGCAGGAGCCACCCCAGCCAAGGGGCGGCCCGGGCAGGGTTGAGCAGCCCCAGGAACGGTGTAGGGGCGGGCTGGGGGTGGCCTTGGAGCCGAGAACAGTCACTGTGTTCCCATGGTGGGGCAGGACAGGATGGTGCTGCCGCGGCCCAGGTTCTGGATCGTATGCAGGTGCCAGATCAGCTGGGGCAGAACCGGGTGGAGGGCGGGGTCGGTGTTCGATGTTAAGTGTCTGAGGTGCTAGAGGACACCCGTGTGGAGATGCCCGGTGGAGGGAAGGAGGTCGCCGGTTCCGCACAGCAAAGGGAGCCCCTGGACTCCACTGGACGTTCAGGCCTGTGCGGCGGGAAGCAGCTCAGGTCACAGGCACGAGCTCGGGCAGGAGCTGGCCTGGCCCAAGGCCTCGTGGCCGGCCACCAGCACCCACTGGGGAGGCTGTGAATGGGGTGCCTGTAGCCGGGTATGGTCAGCCCGTAGTACAAATGACTGTCCACCTCTGCTGGGTTCCCAGAGGACCAGAGCTGTGCCGTTAACAAAGGTTGGTATCCGTTTTCGGGTGAATTCTGGGGTACTTTTATTCACTCCTTGAATTCTAATCGAAGACTCCGGTTGAAATTCTAATTAGAGTCGTGGTGCCTTTACACGCACAGACACGCACGCACACACGTTTTGGGGGAGTGGGCATTTCTGCTGGACGGAGGGGTGGGCGGTGAGGGCCAGCCTCTCTCTCTGCCAAGGCTTCTGCTCCCCAGAGGCAGCCACGGTCAGGAGTTCAGTGTGTATTTTCCTGAAAGTTGTGTGGTAAACGTACTCATCCACTGGACGTTTCACAAAGAAAGTGAGGTGGGGGCTCCCTGACATGCTCCCCCAGAGGCCCACAGTGTGAGGTGAGGCGTCCTGCTTGGGGAGGTGCCTGCCTGAGGGAGCTGGCCTCATTCTTGCGTCGTTTTTCCCCGAGCAATCTGCCTGCTGGGCTTCTGTGTCCCTGTTGCGGACCCGCCTCGGCCTCCAGGTGATGTCAGCCCCATCGCCCTGCCAGGGGAGCTCTTGGTCCCCACTTCTGTGTGGCAGTTGGGGGGTGACAGATAGCTTACTTGGCCTGGCATTTCCCCAGAGCCTGCCCACCGTCGGGCCTCCCTGTCAGGTGCTCAAACCAAATCCCTGGGTCACTCTGGACTCCCACCAGAACCCAACCCCCGCTGGAGCCGCCACCGGGGCAGGACCAGGCGTGGCCAGGGCATCGGTGAGCCACAGGAGGGCCTGGCATGGGGTCCCCACAGGAGTGCGGCCCTGGCAGGACTGTACACGCCCAGCCTCTCTGGAGGCAGCCAGGCCCGGTGCCTCCCTGGATGACAGCTTGGCTCCTGTGAGGACGCGCTCACCCGGGCCTGTGCGCGCACTGCAGGCCATGCCAGGTGAGCTCGGCAGACGGCCCACTGCCCTAGGGGTGCACAGCGTCCCCAGGTGTCTCAGGTGGGACCTTCCTGGGCCCGAGAGCTCGGGGTCCATCTGTGCGGCTCTGGGATTGGAGTCAGAGTTCACAGGGGGCCCAGCTGGGCCTGTCATGTGCTCCCTGCTCTTCCTCAGTCCCACAGGCTCCTCCGATTTCCATCTTCCTCAGATACCCCAGGGACCAGGTGATGGCAGCGGCCAGGCTCCTACCGCCACCGGCGGTGCCCCAGGTGAGTTACCCCGAGGCCCGCGCAGCACCACGCCTGGGGCTCCTGGTGGCAGCCTAAGCATCACTGCATCCTGGATGCTGTGGCCCCTTCCTGTCACTGCCCCGCATCCCTGAGCCTATCCCCACACCCCCATGCTGCTTGCACCCACCTCATCTCGGATGGAGACACTCAGTCGACCTGCAGCAGCCCCTGTCATTCCAGGCCAAGGTGACCTTCGAGGACGTGGCCGTGCTCCTCTCCCAGGAGGAGTGGGACCGCCTGGGCCCTGCTCAGCGGGGCCTCTACCGACATGTGATGATGGAAACCTATGGGAACGTGGTCTCCGTGGGTAAGGCCCCTCTGCAGGCCTCGTCTGTCTGTGTGCTCTGCCCAGGGCGGGGTTAGGGTGCTCACAGATGCTGTGTAGACAAAAGCCCTTCCCTCCCCATGAGCAGGAATTCCAGGATCCAAGCCCGAGGTGATCTCGCAGCTGGAGCGAGGAGAGGAGCCGTGGGTCGTGGACAAACAGGGAAATGAGGGGCGCCGGGGCCTGGGCACTGGCCGCTCAGGTGAGTGGGGAGCCGCCTTCCTGCACCAAGGGCTGAGCACCTGCGAGTGCTAATGGGAGGTGGCCGGAGTGGCTTCCTCCTGGGGTCTGATTTGGCAGAGGGACCCTGCGGGCAGGTGGGGCCAGGCAGGGAGTGAGCACAGAGGCGAGTGCAGCCTGGTGGTGGGTTGGGCCCAGGCAGAGCGGGGAGAGCACCCATGGTGACCGGGCCCCTGCCGGTCCCCGTTCTGATGGGACATCCAGAGTTGGAGGGATACCTGGTTGGTTGAGGGAAGAAGGAAGCACCCTCAGTGTAGAAGGGAAGTTTCTTAACCTGGTAGGTAGTGGGGCCGGGGCTGTTTGAGATGGGGAGCCTACCATCCACGGCCACGTGGCGCCGTCCGGCCGTCCCACCCAGAATAAGGCAGGACAGACGGAACACAGCAACAAGGTTGAAGCTACAGAACTGGAAAGAAGTCGTTGAAAATCATATGATTTTCTCTTGTAAAATTGACTAGAATTCACAAGAGAGTTTGCTAGGTACAGAATCAGTTTTATTTCTATTTATCAACACCAAAGGTATGATTTTTTTTCTAGTTTTATTGAGATATAATTGACATGACATTACAAGTTTAAGGTGTAGAGCATAATGATTTGACTTAAATATATTGTGAAATAATAACCACCATAAGTTTAGGTAACATCCACCATCTCATATAGGTACAACAGCAAGAGAGAAAAAACCTTTTTTAAAGATGTGATTTTCTTGAAGATAATATTTACAGCAGCATCAGAGAGGTGATGTGTCCAGTAGTTAATCTAACAGACGAAGTACCAGACTTTATGGAGGAAAGTGTAGAAGGGAGGGTGCTGGCAGACGCGTCCAGTCCTGAGGGCAGTGGCCAGCAGTTGCTTTAGGGCGGGGTGGGGGTGGGCAACATCCAGTGAAGGACGAGGACAGGAGTCTCAGGGAACCTCAGCCAGCCTGCCCTGCAGGACGTGGCCCCTCTGGCTGTGAGGACAGCACAGCACCAATCCCATGGCTGCTCCACTCCAGGTCTCTAGGTACTGTGTGGAGGGGCACCAGGTGTTACAGACAGCCCGCCTCTTACTGACCCGCAGAATCAGGTATCCTCAGAGAAGCAATGACTTCACTGGACCCGGAGGAATGCGATTTTCCAGGGAATGTAGAAAAGGCACAGCATCATGTTGAGCAAATCTTTGACTGCAGCTGCAGGGGGCAAGAAAACAGCTGCCCCCAACCAGACCTGGGTCCCTGGTGGACCAGCTGTGGTTTCACTTGATGGAGGTCTTAAGACGAGTGCCCTTCAGATCTGATGCCAAAGAGACCGCTGTTCTCCAAGAGCATGGTGGGTTGGAGAGAGAAGCTTCCGCACAGAAGCACCTGCTCACTCTGTCCCCCACCCGCAGGCCCCAGAGGACGGGGTCTGAGAGATGAGGGGTGTGCACAGAGCAGGAGCTGCCTGCTGCAGCCCGGGCCGCCACCATGTGCCTCAGCCTCGCCCGGCGGCTCCTCAAAGGGAGAAGCGTGTGCGCCTGCCTGGCCCTGCTGTCTTAACCCAATGAATTGCACTTTCGTCTTGTAACAGCAAATGAGAGGATTTTCCACTCTTGGGAGAGGCGTTGGTTTTGTTGTCCCTTCAACTCTCTGTTCTTTTTGCAGACAACTTCACGTGTGACCACATGACAGCTTGTGTGCAACAAGACAGCACGTCCTGTCCCTGGGGTGAGTGTGTGTCTCATCTTCTTTTCGATCCAGTACAAAATCCCTGACGTGTCTGGCTCGTGGTTCACAAGAACACGAGGAGGTTCCCAGGCTGCTGTGATGCAGAGCGTGTGTTCTCATTACACAGCACACACAATTTCTACAGAATGCCGGTGGGGGCGGTTAAATTAAAAAATTGGTTTCGGTGGACTTGCTTTTTCCCCTTTATTTGTCTTGTTGTTGCTGTACACTTGAAACAATGATGAAGCTGCCATCCTGAGAGTGTGGGGCAAGAGGCAGCCCATCCCCGCATTCATGGCAGCCTGGGTCTGTTGTGTGCTGTGTTTGTGCCAGGGATGATGGAGGGAGTTACCTCCTGAAATGTTCAATTATTCTTCACCATTAAAGTCGTCTTTCTTGTCTTGTTACTCTGGCATCAGGCCAGAAGCCACCCATTCAGGAAGCTTCAAACATTAGAAGTGATACTTTTCCATGCAAATGAGTAATTATTTCTTTGACCTACCAGCTTTACTCTGTGATGATGAGGCTTATAAGTGAAAAAAAAGGAACTAAAACTTGTTTTCCGCTTAAAAAAAAACATAGTATAAGTTTTTAAGAACATGTAAAAATCTTATTAAACAGATGACAGTGAATTCAGATATTTAAATGAAGAACCTATTGAATACTGTTACCATTTATGAGTACAGTGCACACTTAATAAATAAATTGCTCTGAAGAGAATAAAGTATGAAGAAACACCCAATAAGAAAAATGGGCACAAAACTTGAACAGGTTCTAATAGAAGAGAACCAACGGAGAAGCCAGATGAGAAGGTGGCAGCCACCTACAAGCCAACAGAAGAGGCCTCAGAATGAAATCTACCTTGCTGGCACCTTGATCTTGGGCTTCCCAGCCTCCTGTTGTTTAAGCCCCCCAGTCTATGATATTTTGTGAGGACACCAAGCCAACTAAGATAACCCCAGGATCCCTGCCCTCTGATCCCTGGTATACATGCCCTGCATAATCCCCAGGACTGTGGTTATGTGTTTTATGATTAGGTTATGTGAAATGGCACTGTTGCCTTTAAGGAACAGAGAATGCTCTAAATCTGGGTCTAGAGGTCAGAGACAAGTCAAATTCAAAGCAGGAGGAGGGAATTCCCTGGCAGTCCAGTGGTTAGGACTCAGCACTTTCACTGCCTTGGCCCAGGTTCAGTCCCTGGTCAGGGAACTAAGATCCCACAAGCTGCTCTGTGTGGCCAAAAATAAATTTATTAATTAAAAAAAATTTTTTTAAAGCAGATGGATTTGATGCATCATTGCTGCCTTAAAGATGCAGGTAGGAGGTAGGAGAAGAGAGTGACTCCCAGGCAGCATCCAGCAAGGAAATGGTCACCTCGGCCCTGCAGCTCCAAGGAGCTAAATGTTGCCAACAATAAAAAAGAGCTGAGAAGTGGATTTATCCCCTGAGCCTTCACACAAGATTTCAGACTGGCTGACACTTTATCTCAGCCTTGTGATACCCTGAGCAGAGAACCCATCCCCGCCATACAGAATCGTGGCCTACAGAACTGTAAGCTAATAAATACAGTTCCCAGTGCTCACACAAGGCTGGGAACACTGTCTCTTCCCACCAGCAAGAGTGGAAAACCTTGTAACTCACAAGGCATCATCAGGTGGAGTACTGAGTAGGGTCTTGCCTCACTAATTGGGGGGGAATAACCTTAAACACTGCCCTGGTCAGATCGAACAGAGTTGAAAGGCAAGAACCATACAGTTTCCAAGTAACTTAGCCACGTATTAGAACAAAGCTCAATAATGTTTATAAAAATACAGAAGTATCCAGCACCAAGCAAGGGGAAAACCATGATGTCCAGCATCTAACCAGAGATACAAAGAAGCAAGAAAATACAACCATGATTAGAAGAAAAACCAGTCAAGTGAAACTGACCAGAAATGACAGGGATGATAGAATTGGGAGACAAGGATATTAAAACAATAAATTCCATATGTTCAGGGAGCTACAGGAAATAGTGTATTAGGTAGAGGCATGGAAGATTATTTTTTTTAAACCCAAATCTAATTTCTAAAGATGAAAACAATGATGAGATGAAAACTTTCACTGAGTAAAATTAGTGGCAGATTAAACATTGCAGAAGAAAGGATTAGTGAACTTGAAAACAAAGGCATGGAAACTTTTGAAAAGGAAACAGGACAAAGGCTAAAAAGGATTGAAGAATATCGGTGAGCTGTGGGAGAACCTGAAATAGCCTGATATATATCATTGATGGGAACAAAGCAGGAAAAATACTTGAAGAAGTGACAGTTGAAGTTTTTCCAAATTTGATGAAAATTATAAACTCAGAAATCTAAGAAGCTCAAGGGACCCTATGCATAATAAACATGAATAAAATTACACTAAACCACATCATGATTAAATGTTGACAACTGGTGACAGAGAACATTTTAAAGGCAGCCAGAGAAAAAGACACATTGCATAGAGAGAAGCAGGGGCCAAAGGCATACTGACAGACTGTCCTTCCTTCCTTCCTTCCTTCCTTCCTTCCTTCCTCTCTTCCTCCCTTCCTCCCTTCCTCCCTTCCTCCCTTCCTCCCTCCCCATGGGCTCCTTAGTTGTGGCATGCATGTGGGATCTAGTTCCCTGATCAGGGATTGAACCCAGGCCCCCTGCATTGGGAGCGTGGAGTCTTATCCACTGTGCAGGCGGCCACTTTCTTGCTGTGTGTTCACTTGACTCTCTGTGCCTGAGGAGACATAAGGACACTATTCTCATCACTGCGGCCTGCCCTGATGACCTCAACTAGCCCTAAGCACTTCCCAAAGGCCCCACCTCCAAATACCATCACACTGGGGGTTAGGGCTTCAGAATACGAATTTGGGAGGACACAAATTTTCAGTCCTTAACAACTTCCCTGTTCCTTCTTCCCCAATTTTATGATACTGTCCTAAGTTTTATATATGTTGTAAAACCACAATATGTAACTACTGTTTTTGCTTTAGACAGTTGCCTTTTAGAGTGACTTAGAAAACTTTTTCATAGTCTTTTATATTTACCTTCATTTTAACCATTTCCAAAAACCGTCATTTCTTTGTGCGATTCCAAGTTTCTGTCAGGTGTATTTTTTCCCCATGAAGAACTTCCTTTAACATTAATGTGGATTTCATGGTTGGGAACTCTGTCCATTGGTTTCTTTCTTTTCAAAAAATTATCTTTTTTTTTTGCAAGGTATTTTTTGCTGGGCACAGAGTTGTAAATTGACCAGTGTTTTCCTCTCGGCACTCGAAGGATGTCCGTGCGTTGTCTTCTGACGTGAAGGTTTCTGATGAAGAGTCTGCTGTAGTTCTTACATTGGCTCCTCTGTGTTCTCTGTGGTTTTTTTTCCCTGTAGCTGCGTCTAAGATTTTCTCCTTCTCTTTGGTTTTTAGGAGTTTGTTTATGTTTCTTTGATCTTGGATCTGTGTTTTGATATCATCCGTTATTGTTGGAAAAATCCCAGCCATTATCTTCGCAGATGTTTTACTTCCTTGTCCTCGTCTTCTCCTGGGATTCTAACGACGTGCAAGTTGGGCTGTTCAGTATTGACCCACAGCTCTGTTTAGTGTTGTTTTTATTGTTTACTGTTCATTTTTCTCTTTGTGTTTCAGTTTGAATAATTTCTGTTGACCTATTTATAAGCTCCCTGGTCGTTTCCTCAGCTGAGTTGAGTCTAATGAGGAGCACATCAAAGGCATCCTTTACCTCTGTCGCTGTGTCTTGTGTCTTGTGTCTGATCATGCAGGTCGTTCCAACACACGGGTCACCTCTGAGCCTGGCATATTGCCACTTAGTGTCTTGATTTTGTGTGTGTGTGTGTGTGTGTGCACACGCATGTGCGTGCACTCACACAACCTTTTCTTTTTTGGTATCTCTTACTTTTTTATTGAATGTCAGCCATCACTCATGGGACAGCGAAAGAGGCAAACTGTCTGTCTGGAAGCACAGCCTCTCCTGTTCAACTTAGTGTGAAAGGCAGAGTCAGTTCAGTCAGGAGCTGGGCTGGGTTCTTTTGTGCCCATAGTTGCCTTCAGGGCGCCACCAGATGCAGATTCCACAGGCACTTCCTCATGCAGGGCGGGGGCGCTCAGTCTCCCGTGTGTCTCTGTACCTCAGAGGCTTCCTCCACCCACAGTAGCCTGCTGTGGCTTGTTGCTCAGCACTTGTTAGACGTGGGGAAGCGGGGATGGAGCAACCCCTGCTGTCCTGGTCCGTCCTTGGGCTCAGCCCTCCCCCAGCTGAAGGAGGTTCTAACTGTCTGGGCCCAGGGTCGTTTCCTGCCCCTTGCCCACCCCCACCCCCCAAGCACAGGGTAGTCTTCCCTTCCCCCAGCCCTGATTTTCATCTGTCCCCAGAGTGTCAAGTTTGCTTACCCTCCCCCAGTGACTCACAACTTTTGTTCCGTAGAGAAGGCTCCCCCCTCTTTCATACCTGAACCCCCAAGGGAGGCTCCCTGTGCTACTACCCCCAGGGGCGGTCCATAGAGCTGCGCCCTCGTGTCCATGCTCCCAGGGGCTTGTTGTCAATCTGTTGAAGTTTTAGCTGGAGTCTCCGAGCCTCTTGTGTGGTGGCCCTGCCTTCCATCTTCCTCTCACCCTCCCTTCAGCCGTGGGCCATCCCACACACCTGTCTCCATTCAAGCACCTGTCTTTCCCTAGATTTCACCTCAGTTGGTTATTATTGTGACATTAGTTCTGTGATGGATTCAGAAAAGTTAAGATTTTGTAGATTGTCTAGCTTTTTCTTGCTGTCGGGGTGGAAGAGATGCTCTTTCCAGGTTTCTAGCCCCTGGGGGAAAGCCGTTAACAAAATGATATAATAATATGCGTTGTCTTAAATAATATAATAACGACATTAATGGTAGAAGAACATGGGAATCACAGCTAGATTGGTCAGTGCAGTCACGAGACTTTGCCAGATTGAGGTTGTGTTCTTCTGAGGGTCCCGGGGAGGGGCCCCCACTGCCTCTGATGAAGGGGCAGTGCTTGAAAGCAGAGGGCGGTGACTGTTTGGCAACTGGAACAAGGGCTTGGACACTGGGGTCGGAAGAGGAAGAGAAGAACAGAAGAGGGGCTTCCCTGGCGGTCCAGTGGTTAAGACTCTGTGCTTCCAATGCAGGGGGTGCAGGTTTGATCCCTGGCCAGGGAACTAAGATCCCACGTGGCACATGGTGCGGCCAGAAAACAAGGGAATCAGAAGAGAGGCGTGGGTCCTGAAGGCCCCCAGCTGCAGGGGGAGGAGCCAGGCTCCGTTCTGGACTTTGGACGTGGATGTGCTGGTGGCCCCTCCAGATGAAGCAGCCTGGCTGCAGGCAGACACCCACCTGAGCCCTGGAGAGCAGTGTGGGTGGGGAAGCCAGGATGTCCCCGTGTCGGGGGCAGCTGAAGCTTGGGGTGGGGCCCCAGCCTCTACACCACTGTGGGGGCCCCTCGCCCTCAGTGTGACTTCTTTAAGGAGCTCTGGGTAAGTCTCCCCAGCCCTGGTCCTGCCTCTTCCGAGATGACCCTCTGCTGAGGGTTTGCTGCAGTCGGGCTGCCTCCATCCTTTTTTTTTTTTTGATGTTTTTTTGGGGTTTTTAAAATAAATTTATGTTTTTGTTTTTTTTTTGTTTTGTGGTATGCGGGCCTCTCACTGTTGTGGCCTCTCCCATTGCGGAGCACAGGCTCCAGACGGGCAGGCTCAGCGGCCATGGCTCATGGGCCCAGCCGCTCCGCAGCATGTGGGATCTTCCCAGACCGGGGCACGAACCCGTGTCCCCTGCATCGGCAGGCGGACTCTCAACCACTGCACCACCAGGGAACTTCCCATTTATGTTTACTTTTGACTGCGTTGGGTCTTTGTTGCTGCCCACGGGCTCTCTAGTTGCGGCGAGCCGGGGCTACTCTCCATTGCAGTGCGCGGACTTCTCGTTGTGGTGGCTTCTCTTGTTGTGGAGCACAGGCTCTAGGCACGCAGGCTTCAGTAGTTGTGGCGCACGGGCTTAGTTGCTCCGTGGCATGTGGGATCTTCCCGGACCAGGGCTGGAACCTGTGTCCCCTGCATTGGCAGGCGGATTCTCAACCACTGCGCCACCAGGGAAGCCCCTGCCTCCATCCTTTTGCAAGAAGTATTAGCATTTGGTATGTCTAAGTCCCTCCAAGGTAACCATTTCCTGGATGTCACAAGACATCACAGGTCAAATCAAGCACATGTTGACCCCGTTGGCACAAATCTCTTTCCAAACACTTCAGTCAAAGACTACCTTAGAAGCTCCCTTGCTTGGTGGAGGGACTGCTTGGGTTCCGAGCCCATTATTTTCCAAGGGTCCTGGTTGGGGTTTGAGGGAGCCCGTTGCACAGCACCTGTCTTCTCAAACCAAGTTCTGAGTGAATTAAGAAGTAAAACTTATATCGCAATAATGCTGTTACCACCAAAAAAGAAAAGAAAAGCTGATGGGACTTGAAAATATTCTTACTACAGAAAAAGCAGTTTGGTGACAACATGCCTGGTTGCCATTCAGTATGCTTCCTAATCAGAAACTCCAGAAAGACCTTTAACCACCAGATTCAGGCAGGGAGGGGCTTCTGGGTCTTCACTGTGAAGCAGAATGCAGGTCCCCTGAGCTGATAAGTCCCAGAGGAGGGGAGGGAGAGGCAGGCACCACGGGCACGCACATTGGTGCCATTCTAGCTCGTGATCTCCTGGTGTTTCTGGGATAGCATTTGTCAGTCTGCTTTCCCCAAGGGCTGCCGGCCCTGGCACCTTTCACAGGCCCCAGGAGTGTCCTGTGTGGCAAGGGAATGAGAGTTCCCTCCTCGGATCTTCCTCGGCCCCCAGGGCTTCTCACGCTGGCATGTCCCTCAGCGACCGCCGTTTTTAACACTGTCCCCAGCGAGGCCTTTGGGAAGCTAGAGGCAGCAGCACAGTGGGTGCTGAGATGGCCACTGGGAAGATCGTGGGAGAACTGGCTCCGTCCTGTCCCCCATCTCGTGCCGTCACAACCCTGCCTCGGGCCAGCTCCGCCTGCTGAGTGTCCTTGATGGACATTGCTCTGAGCAGGCCGTCCTCCAGGACAGTCCTGTCCCCTGGTGATGTCAGTTCAGCGGCTCTGTCTCCGAGATTTAAAAAAATGTCCTTGGCACCCCCTGCTCCGCCCACTCAGCCTACAGAGCCCCTGACATGACTGTAGAAACATCCCCTGGCGTTCTCTGCCACCCTCACTGACGCCTGAAAGCCCTGTCTTGTCCCCCAGGGAGCAGTCTTCTGGACACGCACGCAGTGCTCACGCATCTCCCTAGCAGCCCCCTTCCCACCCACCACGGTCCTAGGTGTGGTCCTGCCTTGATTCCACCTCCAATGGCCTCTGGACACTCCAGGGAGGGCGGGGCTGGGGTGGCAGTGGGCTCTGACCTCATGTGCCCCTCACAGGGGCCCTCGGACTGGAGCCGGCCTTCTCTCCAGCCACACGGTTGGCCTGGGCACCTTTTGTGTCACCTGCTGGTGGCTTCTCAGCCACGGGCATTCAGGGGCCTCCCTGCTCCAGTGAAGCGCCTTCAGGGCGACAATTGCTCTGCAGTTTCAAGTGCGTTTAACACACTCACTTTGGTTCTGTTTTTTCAGGATGTGAAAACACGGAGCGGGACCAGAGCAGAGCCTTGAGTCTGAGGCCACTCACTTCACAGGAAGCACCAACGGCTCTGAGGAAAACGCCAGCTGAGTGGAGCGACCAGGGAAGCTGCGAGCCCGAGGAGAGCTTCTGTCTGAGTCCCAGCCACGCCGGCCCCCCTGAAGGCCGGGCCTTGAGTCAGGGCATGCCTGTCGCTCAGCGACCAGCCGTTCCTGGCGGGGAGAGACCCTACCGGTGTGTGGAGTGCGGGAAGTGCTTTGGCCGGAGCTCCCACCTCCTCCAGCACCAGAGAACCCACACCGGGGAGAGGCCCTACGTGTGCGGCGTGTGCGGCAAGGCCTTCAGCCAGAGCTCGGTCCTCAGCAAGCACAGGAGGATCCACACGGGCGAGAAACCCTACGCGTGTCACGAGTGTGGAAAGGCCTTTCGAGTGAGCTCAGATCTTGCTCAGCATCACAAGATCCACACGGGGGAGAAGCCACATGAGTGTCTCGAGTGTCGCAAGGCCTTCACACAGCTCTCCCACCTGCTCCAGCACCAGCGCATCCACACCGGGGAGAGGCCCTACGTGTGCGGCGTGTGCGGGAAGGCCTTCAACCACAGCACTGTGCTGCGCAGCCACCGGCGGGTGCACACCGGGGAGAAGCCGCACGCCTGCGCAGAGTGTGGCCGCGCCTTCAGCGTGAAGAGGACGCTGCTCCAGCACCAGCGGGTCCACACCGGGGAGAAGCCCTACGCCTGTGGCGAGTGTGGCCGCGCCTTCAGCGACCGCTCCGTCCTCATCCAGCACCACAGCGTGCACACAGGCGAGAAGCCCTATGAGTGCAGCGAGTGCGGCAAGGCCTTCCGGCACCGCTCCACCCTCCTGAACCACGAACGCATCCACACCGAGGAGAAGCCCTATGGCTGCTACGCATGCGGCAAGGCCTTCGTGCAGCACTCCCACCTGACCCAGCACCAGCGGGTCCACACCGGCGAAAAGCCCTACGTGTGCAGCGAGTGTGGCCACGCCTTCAGTGCCCGCAGGTCCCTGGTCCAGCACCAGCGGGTCCACACGGGTGAGAGGCCATTCCGCTGTGCACAGTGCGACAAGGCCTTCAGCCTGAAGGCCACGCTGATCGTGCACCTGAGGACCCACACAGGCGAGAGGCCCTATGAGTGTAGCCGCTGCGGCAAGGCCTTCAGCCAGTACTCGGTGCTCGTGCAGCACCAACGCATCCACACAGGCGAGAGGCCCTATGAATGTGGGGAGTGCGGCCGCGCCTTTAACCAGCACGGCCACCTGATCCAGCACCAGAAGGTACACAGGAAGCTGTGACCTTGGCCACACGCGAACCTGCACTTGGGAACTTGGGCATCCAGCCCCAGGAAGCCTCCAGTCCAAGGGAGGTGCCCGTCAGCATCACCAAGTATCACTGAGAAGGGAAGCACTGACATGTCTCTGGAAGAACTTCAGAGGATGCCTCATTTTTTTCTCTCAACTTCTTGAGGTTACACTGCAGAGTAATTACACAATTGTAGAGAATTTTGGTGAAGACAGTTACAATTCATTATTTAACATTAGTTTATTAGACGTGAGAAAGTAAAGGAAGTTACTGTCACAGTAAAACTTCCTCACACTCCAAATAGAGGGTTTTTTCTTAGAACATTATATGCCTTTTTCCTAAACTCAACAACTGTTCTGAGTATTGCACTTAAAATTAGAATGTTGGACGATATTTTCAGTATTCTGTTAAGCACTACAATGCTGTGTGGATAAAATGACATAAAAAAGATTGTCACTAAGTGTCGTAATGTATTATGGCTGAAAATCCTGTGTGTGTGGAACCACTTGTTTTGTATGAAAACCGGGTGGCAGGGGGGTGGGGGGGGCGGGACTCTAAAGATTAATTAGTGAGAAATGATGTAAATTTAGAAAACCCTTTATCTACTCCTTTAACTTTTCAAGATCAGAAGGGAGGTCCTAACTTATTAGTGAAGATTCAACTCAAAAATGGATCTTTTCCTCAAAACCTGTGCACAGAAATCATGGGATGTCTTGGGCTTCTGGGCCCATGTAGGCTTAGGAGGCCTCTTCACACTCAGAGCCCAGACCTTACAGCTGCTACACCACTTGGGTGCCTCTTTATACACTATGGTGTTTCCCAAAAATAGTGTTACTAAAAAGACAGTTCTTCGGCACATACTTTTTTTTTTTTTTTTTTTTTGCGGTATGCGGCCCTCTCACTGCTGTGGCCTCTCCCACTGCGGAGCACAGGCTCCGGATGCACAGGCTCAGTGGCCATGGCTCACGGGCCCAGCTGCTCTGCGGCATGTGGGATCCTCCCGGACCGGGGCACAAACCCGTGTCCCCTGCATCGGCAGGCGGACTCTCAACCACTGCGCCACCAGGGAAGCCCCTGGCACATACTTTTAAAACAAAATTCTCAAATAGCTTTTTGTTTAATCTTTCTGATATTTCTTTTGCTATGACTGAGGGTTTTCTTTCATTTTTTACTCCTAGTTCCAAGAGAGTCTAGTATTCATTGTTGTATACTGTAATCTAGTTTATTCATAATTTTTAAAAGTTTTTTCTCTCTATTCTCAGGAAAAATCAAGGACCAGAGTGTTGATCACTTTTTTTTTTTTTTTGGCTGTGTTGTGTCTTCGTTGCTGCACGTGTGCTTTTCTCTAGTTCTGGTGCGCGGGCTTCTCATTGCAGAGCACAGGCGCACGGCCTTCATTAGTTGTGGCACACGGGCTCAGTAGCTTTAGCTCTTGGGCTCTATAGCACAGGTTCAGTAGTTGTGGCGCACGGGCTTCGTTGCTCCACAGCATGTGGGATCTTCCCAGACCAGGGCTCGAACCCTTGTCCCCTGCATTGGCAGGTGGATTCTTAACCACTGTGCCACCAGGGAAGTCCTAGAGTGTTGATCCTTAGGTCCATAGCAATCACTGATGCAGGTGAAAGCTTGTTTTCCCCTCTCTGCAGGCACTGCTGAGAGGAGCTTACATCACTCAGGTGTAACATGAGAGAGGAACTGAGCTCACAGGGAAGCTACCAAACTTTTTGACTCACTCAGTCCATGACTGGCATCTGACTCCCAGTGCTACTCAGCTGAGCCCACCACTACTCAGGACACAATTCCTAACCGTGTGGAAGTCAGAGTAAGAAACAGTCATGTTCCAAGACAAGGCTGCCCACTCTCACCACCTCTATTCAACATAGTACTGGAAGTCCTCGCCACAGCAATCAGACAAGAAAAAGAAATAAAAGTCATCCAAATTGGAAGGGAAGAGGTAAAGTTGCCATCATTTGCAGATGATCTGAATACTACTGGGTGGGCCAAAATGTTCATTCAGCTCTTTCTTTAAGATGGCTCAGTAGCACTTAATTGTCTTTAACTTCATTAAAAACAATTTTGTTAGTCTGTATGTGACAGCTGTCATATCAGCGTGCATTTTAAAAAAGACTTGTATCAAAACTCTTGAATTTCTGTGTAGCCATTTTAACATCGAAGATGGAAGAAAAAGAGCAACATTTTCAGCATATTATGCTTTATTATTTCAAAAAAGGTAAAAACACACCCTAAATGCAAAAAAAGATTTGTGCAGCATATGGAGAAGGTGCTGTGACAGACCGAACGTGTCAAAAGTGGTTTGCAAAGTCTTGTACTGGAGATTGCTCGCTGGACGATGCCCCGTGGTCGGGTAGACCAGTTGAAGTTGATAGTGATCAAACAGAGAATATTAATTGAGAACAGTCAATATTATACCACACAGGAGATAGCCAACATACTCAAAATATCCAGATCAAGTGTTGAAAATCACTTGCACCAGCTTGGTTATGTTCATCACTTTGATGTTTGCATTCCACATAAGTTAAGCGGAGAAAACCTTCTTGACCGTATTTCCCATGCAATTCTCTACTTAAACATAATGAAAATGTTCCATTTTTAAAACAAATTGTGATGGGTGATTGAAAAGTGGATACTGTACAATAATGTGAAATGGAGGAGATCATGGGGCAAGAGAAATGAACCATCACCAGCCACACCAAAGGCCAGTCTTCATCCAAAGAAGGTGATGTTGTGTATATGGATTGGAAGGGAGTCCTCTATTATGAGCTCCTTCCGGAAAACCAAACGATTAATTCCAACAAGTACTGATCCCAATTAGACCAAATGAAAGCAGCACTCATTGAAAAGCGTCTGGAATTAGTGAACAGAAAACGCATAATCTTACATCAGGATAATGCAAGACCACTAGTTTCTTTGATGACCAGGCAAAAACTATTACAACTTGGCTGGGAAGTTCTGATTCATCCGCCATATTCACCAGACATTGCACCTTTGGATTTCCATTTATTTAGGTCTTTACAAAATTCTCTTAATGGAAAAAATTTCAACTCCCTGGAAGACTGTAAAAGGCACCCGGAACAGTTCTTTGCTCAAAAAGTTTTGTGGGAGCTTCCCTGGTGGTGCAGTGGTTAAGAATCCGCCTGCCAATGCAGGGGACACGGTTCAAGCCCTGGTCCGGGAAGATCCCGCATGCCGCGGAGCAACTAGGCCCGTGCATCACAACTGGTGAGCCTGTGCTCTAGAGCCCGGGAGCCACTACTGAGCCTGCATTCCACAACCACTGAAGCCCACACGCCTAGAGCCCGTGCTCTGCAACAAGAGAAGCCACCACAATGAGAAGCCTGCGCACCACAACAAAGAGTAGCCCCTGCTCGCCGCAACTAGAGAAAGCCCACATGCAGCAACAAAGACCCAACACAGCCAAAGGTAAATAAATTAAATAAATAAATTTATTTTAAAAAAAGTTTTGGGAAGATGGAATTATGAAGTTGCCTGAAAAATGGCGGAAGGTAGAACAAAAGAGTGAATACGTTGTTCAGTAACGTTCTTGGTGAAAATTAAAAGTGTGTCTTTTATTTTTACTTAAAAGCCAAAGGCACTTTTTCACCAACTGAATATGTAGAAGACCCTAAAGACTCCACACAAAAACTTCTAGAACTGATAATCCTAAAATTCATATGGAACTATAAAATACCCAGAATTGCCAAAGAAATCCTGAGGAAAAAGAACAAAGCAGGGGACTTCCCTGGTGGCGCAGTGGTTAAGAATCCGTCTGCCAATGCAGGGGACACAAGTTCCAGCAACGAAGACCCAATGCAGCCAAAAATAAATTAATAAATAAATTTATAAAAAAGAACAAAGCAGGAAGCATAACCGTCCCAGATTTGAGACAATACTATTGGGTTGGCCAAAAAGTTCGTTCGGGTTTTTCTGTAACTTCTTACGGAAAAACCTGAACTTTTTGGCCAACTCAATACAAAGCTACAGTAATCAAAACTGTGGTATTGGCACAAAAACCAACATATGAGTCAATGGAACAGAATAGCCCAGAAATAGGCCCACACACCCATGGTCAATTAATCTTTGACAAAGGAGGCAAGAACATACAATGGTAAAAAAAAAGAAAAAAACAGTCTCTTCAAGTGGTGTTGGGAAAGTTGGATGCATGTATATCAATGAAGTTAGAACACTCTCACCATAAACAAACTCAAAATGGCTTAAAGTCTTAAACATAAGACATGACACCATAAAACTCATGGAAGAGTACATAGGCAAAACATTGCCTGACAAATCGTACCTGAGGCAGTCAGTCTCCCAAGGAAATAGAAATAAAAACAAAAATAAACAAATGGGACCTAATCAAACTTACAAACTTTTGCACAGCAGAGGAAACCATAAGCAAAACAAAAAGACAATGTACAGAGTGGGAGAAAATGTTTACAAACAACTGACAAGGGCTTAATTTCTAAAATGTACAAACAGCTCATACAACTCAACAACAACAAAAAAAACAACCCAGTTAAAAAGTGGGCAGAAAACCTAAACAGACATTTCTTCAAAGAGGAAATACAGATGGCCAACAGCCACGTGATAAAATGCACAGCATCGCCAATTATTAGAGAAATGCAAATCAAAACTACAATGAGGTGCCACCTCACACCAGTCAGAATGGCCATCATTAAAAAGCCTACAAATAACAAATACTGGAGAGGGTGTGGAGAAAAGGGAACCCTCCTACACTGTTGGTGGGAATGTAAACTGGTACAACCACTATGGAGAACAGCATGGAGATTCCTCAGAAAACTAAACATAGAACTATCATATCCAGCAATCCTACTCCTGGGAATATATACAGACAAAACTCTCATCTAAAAAGATCCACGCACCCCTATGCTCATAGCAGCACTATTCACAATAGCCAGAACATGGAAGCAACCTCAATGTCCATTGACAGACGAATGGATAAAGATGGGGTCTATTTATATACAATGGAATACTATTCTGCCATAAAAAAGAACAAAATAATGCCATTAGCAGCAGCAGTAGATGCAACTAGAGATTATCATACTAAGTGAAGTAAGTCATAAAGACAAATACCATATGATATCACTTATATGTGGAATCTAAAATACGACACAAATGAACCTATTTTTGAAACAGAGTCTTGGACACAGAGAACAGACTATTGGTTGCCAAGGGGGAGGGGGTTGGGGAGGGATGGAGTGGGAGGTTGAGGTTAGCAGATGGAAGCTTTTATATATAATGTTAATGTTTAATGGATAAACAAGGACCTACTGTATAGCACAGAATTATATTCAATATCATATGATAAACCATAATGGAAAAGAATATTTTAGAAAAGTATACATATATATATATATATAACTGAATCACATTGCTGCACAGCAGAAATTAACACAACATTGTTAATCAACTATATTTCAATTAAAAACATATTGTTTTTTAAAAAAGGGGAAAAAAAGGTAATGCTCTGTTGGAAAAAAAAAAGAAATGGT